AAGTCTAGTATCGATCATATAGTATTTACTGATAAATTAATTATCAGAATCCCTACAAATATTACAGTTTCTCTAAATAAAAAAAAATTACAGTTAGTAAGAAAGTTTATGATTACTCCTAATTCAAAACAGAATTCAAAGTTATCTCATCTTGCATTTTCAATTCATTTTACCTCTTAAATATGAAACACGATGCAAAACAAATCACTGTCCAAATAACTTTTCAACTTACATTTTGAAATTTAAACTAAACTATATTTTAGCGTAATATTTAGAATAGTGATCATTTATGAAATTGAAATAGTTCAATGACCAAATTGAAAAATTTATAATAGTTTAGTGACTATCGGTGTATGAAATTGAAATAATTCATTGACCAAGTTGAAGACTTTACAATAAATATAGCGCCAATGATCATTACACTATTGTAAAGTGTTCAATTTGATCACTGAACTATTTCAATTTCATAAAATGGTCACTATCCTAAAATACCATCTAAACAATTTTCTTTTCATTTTCCATTATGTTTTCCACTTAAACCATTTTCTAGATTGAAGTCAAAAATAAAAACAAAACTAACGTCTAAACAAACACAAATTATTTTTGAACTTTGATAAATTAATAACAATCAAAGGTCAAAAAACTCTCTCCAAGTGAAACTTCCTCTCCACCTTTACATATATCCCAAAACCCGAAGGGCTCCACACAAAGCAGCACAAAACATACGCACGCTGACGAAAAATATTCCCAGATTACACTACTACTTTTTTCTGAAAAAAGAAATAAAGATGGAAAAAACATTTGTCGGATGCTAACACTAAAAAAGGGAGCAACGCTATAGTAAATGAATTTGGAATTTTTTTTTTGATTTTTTTTTTTATATAAGTCTTGACAATATTGATTAATTTCTCTTATTGAATTGTTAACATTACTTTAATGTGATAAATAATAGAGAAATAAATATTCTTTTATTTATGATATCGAGAGGCGTTCGTGCGACAATTATACTTGACACCGATGATATCACTTAAGAAATTGAGAGTTTGAAGTTTAACTTGAATCCCATTACAAGCATATATATCAACGTGACTCCATATTCAAAGAAAGAAAACGGAAAGAAAAATTCACGTCACCTCTCTCTATCCATTTCATTGTTTTCAAGATGAAAACAAATATTATTTTATTTTTTTTTTAAAAAAACCCAAATTACAAAAACGGCAACCACGTAGCTACTAAGCTAGCGAAAACAACTTCTAAACCGCTTTTCATTCATGCTATTTTTTTCTAAAAAAAAAAAACACACACACACACACTACTCAATGTAAATATTTTTAGCCATTAGAGTTTTCAGTATTTTCTTTATCGTATTTATATTTGTTTTAGTATAACAATGTGATTTAGTTTGATTACTCTCCTGATACCATTGCGTGGCCTTTTTAAAATGGGCACATTTGCAAATCTATTAGGCAGTGAATGAAACTCAAAACATAATTACGAAATTAGAAGGGATAATAATAGCTGTATAAGGATGATACTTTATGACAAAATACGATAAGTATTTCATGTATTGCTGTAGATTACACAAACACAGCTTAAAGCATATAAAAACAGCATTACGTGTTTTCAACTTAAAATTACGTCCTCTATATCTACAAATACGAATATTGCCAGACTTAATTGTACTTTTTACTATTTATAGCATTTCCAAATCTTACTACATTGATGTCAATTATTGTGGCGCTAATGTCAAACATTCATACTTGCTTAGTCATCGGATATGCCGAAAAATATTAGCTGTTAATGTACATTAATAGAAAAATAACCAATTATTTAAATAATATTATCCTTAATGTGTAACTCGATAGAATTACCGGAATGCAGCAATTGTGCAACAATAAGTTAATTCGTACGTTCTACAAATCATTTCGGTGTACATGTAATTCATAACGAAAAGGAAATAAAAAAATAAGAACCTTATAAATTTGATATATCTATTTATATACCCATAAAAGCCACGTGACAGCTTCTCAAAAGAAATTTTCCCGCCTAAACTCTAAAAACAATACTACGTAGTTTTGGTTTATTGAGAAAAAGGTAACTCATAATTTTAGGCATGATCTTAAAGTTACCTTAGAATAATTTGATTTGATGAATCAATTATTATCTTCCCAAATTTAATTTTTTAATAATTAGATTCAAAGCAAAAATATCATCAACAATAAAATATTTTTTTTCTTTTCATAGTTACATATTTTGCTCTAAACAAATCCCGTTAAACAGTGCCCGGGCAACGGCCCGGGCTGATAAACTAATTAAGATGTAAGTGCTTAATACATGTCTAAATAATGTTCGCATCTCGTCATACTTTTTTTTTAAAGACATATTTCTTCACACCAAGAAACTGAAGGCAAGAAAACGCTATGAAAAAATAGACTGGTATAACATATGTACTCCCGTTTCAGAAATTAGAACCACAGTCATGTTCTTTTTAAGACTCTTATTGCGAGACAGAAATGTGCTATATGATTTGGCGTAGTATAATTTCCCTTTTACCGGAAGGTTGAGGAGTATTGATGAAAGTAAACAGAGATGCTTAATGACAAGTGCCATAAGTAGTAATCAAATGAACCTTTTTGTAATGATGCAATATAAACAACATATGACCACCATAGAGTTATGTACTATCGCTATCATCCCCCACTCCACACCATCCATTAACTCCTCCAACAAATGTGTTCTTGGATCTAGTACCTTCCACCATGTTGCAGTAGTAGCATAATTTTGCCCAAACATCAACACTCTTCCCCCTTTATACTCACTCCTCCATAAGTGCTTTCTTTCAAATCGAAAAATTGAAGCCCATCTAATTTTTTTTTGCCAGCAACTTGTAAAATTGCTATTTATGTTTACAGTGTTAGAGAAATATTATTAAACAAAATACTGCCTCCGTCCCATAATTATTGTCTAGTATGAGTTTTCTTTTTTAGTTCAAATTGTACTAAAAGTGAAATCTCAAACTGAACAATAATAATGGGACAAAGGGAATAGCAAAAACCTTAAATTATGGAGATTATGAAGTATACAATCTTAAGTAGATATCGAGTTTTAATTTTTGCACCAACAGTTAAAATGTCTGAAGATTTGTCCCTCGGAGGTAATCTGTTCACTCTAGTCGAATGGAGATTATTTTGTACAAGTCTAATACAGGATCTTGTAGTTAAATAGTGTATACTATGGAACACTACCCAAAAGGCATAAAAGAAGAGGTGATGCAGTTTACGATGTATGATAGGAGGACCTTTACTTTAGCCTAAAGAATCAACCCTCATTCACTCTCATAAAGTCTAAGTTCATTAGAAAATCTAACGAATCTAAATATTCTTGTAGTAAAGGGGAAAAGATTATTTATAGTAGCATCGTATAAATTACTTGAAAAAGGTATGAATGTTGTTGCCAAAGGGGAAAAAGAAAATTATAATCACACTGCAATGTAATGTAACGTTATTATTTGTTGAACTTCACGTTCCAAGTGAATATATAATTTAGTACAATAAACGTAATCTTTGTTTTGGAGTATATAATAAATCAACAAAATTGGAGGGATCAAAATAACCAACTTTCTAAAATAAACAATGTTGATGAAAGTGAATAAAGTCAGCAAAGATGATGCTATAATTTTTGTAGATAATACTATATATATATATGTATGTATAATAATTAATAAAAGTATTGACTAAAAGAAAATGGGGTTAAATAATTTCCTGGAAGTGAACAATTGTGACGCAAATAAATCCAATTAAACACGACTACAAACAACTACTATTGACAGACCAAAAATTGAAGGGAAAACGTTTTATATCTATTATATACTATAAAGTATGGACAAAAAAGTACGGTTAAATTTCAAACGAGGTTAAAAAAATTATGCATAAAACCGTATTAAAGAAGATAATTGATGATGAACAAATGTTTAATGAACCATTTTTTTTCTTTTTGTTTGTGCTGTTATCATCCACGTTAGAATTCAAGATCTTTGTGATTATAATTCTCAACCCTCACCAATTTACTCGCCGGAAGCAGATTAATTAAAATATTAAAAAATAAACATCCTTGATATAAATTAAAATCAGGAAAAAAGAAGAGATTTTTTTTTGGGCTATTAAAAATATACAATTAACATAAACACATTCACTACTCGATTTACAGGAATATTACGGTGTCTCTTACTCTTACATGCATACATTGAATTTTGAAGAATAATAGTTTTCAAAATGATACTATTCTCTTAGTCCAATTTTAATAAACTGTTGTATTGTTTTCTTTATAACTGCCGAATTCGAAATTTTATTTTTTCAATACAAATTGTACTAAACGCGAAAATGTAAACAATAATTATTTTTGGGACAAAGAGATTATTATTTTAGTAATTCAATAATGTAGATCATTAAAATAGGACAAAAAAGAGTAAGATAAGAAAAACATTAACCATCCTTTCTTGAAAACATTGCCATTAGTTTATAATAAAAATTATTTCACACTATTCTGCGCTATTTCATTAATCACCATCCTGTTTTCTATCAAGGCGATCCATCCAAAATTTAGATGTAGTTTATAGGGTGCAGAAAAAAGTCAATATTTATATAATAATAATCTAAGTTGTTGAAATTATAATGCCTCAATATCTTGGTGAAAAAGAAAGAAATACAAGAAATGAAAAAAATAGTAGTACTACATCAAAGAAGATAATCTACTAAAAAAATAAAAGAAAATAAAATAAAAATTACAATCCCAACAAACCTCAAAAAGAGGCAGTTATGATTCATGAAAACCATATCCGCTGTTACAGAAAGTAACAAAAGCAGAGCAGGCCCTGTGTCATCCTACGTTAGCTGTTTCATCTCCAAATTTATTTATTTATTTTTAATTTTTTTTTGTCAATTTTATCGAATTTTTAATGCTTATAATCTCATCACTCACTTTAACACAACACTACTTAAATACAGTTAAATTCATCAATTCTTTCAACCCCCATCTCTCTTCCTGATTCTTCTCTCTCTCTCTCTCTCTCTCATTTATACACACAGTCACACAGTGAGAGATATATACATTGCATTGCACACCTTCTTTCACACACTTTTCTCTCACCCCCAAAAAAAAAAAAAAAAACCAACACAACAAAGAGAAAAAAAGAGAGGTAGAGAAAAAAGCCAAAGCCCCCAAGCCACCTGTTAATACACTCGCTAACCATCACCTAAAACCACTTCCACCTGTGATCACATTTGCGTTTTTACAAAAACCCTTTTAATTAATTTACCAAAATTTCTCAAATTTCTCTTTCTCTCTCTCATCAATTCATTACCTTCTCACCATTTTTTCTTCCTTCCAAATGGGTTTTTATTTATTGGCTTTGTAGAGGCATCACCATATTATTCCTAGAGAATCTACCTAATTATTTTCGAGATCATCCCAAATCTGAAAAACCCTGTCTTTGATTGATCTCTCTCGCATTGGCGAGGAATAAAGGTTGGGTTTTTGTCTTTGACAAAGGAATAAAGGTTGGGTTTTTGAGTGAGGAGACGAGGCTTAAAGATATATATAATTTTTTCTTTTTTTTTTGTGGGTTTAAAATTAGAATTGTGGGTTTTTTTGTTGTGGAAGAAGTAGAGATTTTTTTTTTTTTTTGGCCCCTTCACTTTGTCGAGAGGGCTTTCGGAATTTATAGTATTTTGTTTATTTTTTTGGTTGGTTTTTGATTCCATGGCTGCTGGTTCGGAAGTTTCTGGTGAGACAGCAGTGGTGGAAGTTCCGGCCGTTCAGCCTGATGGAACTGTTTCAAAAACGGATACAGTATCGAAAAATGCTGATGTTAATTCTGATTCGATTGCACCTTTGTCTAACGGTGCTAAGGAGTCCGATTCGAGTTCCAATAATTCCAATTCGAAATCAGACATCCAAATGCAAGATATTGTTGATATGTTGAAGACACTCAAGTTGAATCCGCTGGCCAAGGAATTTTTTCCTTCTTCCTATCATCGTGATCAAATGGGGCTCAATATTATGCCGGTCATGAACTGGGCCAACCCTGGGTTTCCCAACAACCGAAGAGTATATACCGATTCTCTGAAATTATTTTGGGTTTCTTGAATTGATCAAATTGATTCTTGTGCTCTATGTTGTTGATTCTGGATTGAAAATCATGGGATGGTTGTTGTAATATTCTCAAATTCGTGTGCTTAGTTATTTGTGTTATTGAAATTTCACGCAATAGGGTTTCACTATGTTTGGTGTAAAATAAGTTTGATTTGGTCTGGAATATTGAAATGGCATACAGGGGTAAAGTGAAGGTTTTTAATTTCTCCCACCCTGTTAGCTTTAGTTGGAACTAAATTAGGCAAATACCTTGTAAGGAATAACTTGTCAGCAGTGTCTCCTGTTAATAGGGTTTTGATCATGTGTTTTGGCCTTCATCGCCATTGATTTGTTGTAATGCAATGTATTGCAGATTAGTAGACTATAGATATTTCTCTAACTTTTTCATGCATAAACTGATCTTCCCATCATCCACTAAATTTGTTAGTGTTATTCTGCTTTTGATTTGTCTTGACATCAGTAAATAATACGTATGCCTCGTTTCAGAATTGACTTTTGTCTGTGTTATCTTTGTTTACGTTTTTGCTGTGGTTGACGAGAGTATTCAAGTTTGGTAATATTATAAATGTTATTTTTGTTTGTTTTCGTTAGCGTGTACCTTCTGCTGTTCATCATTTTTTCTCCCTGTTAATGGATATAACTGTTTGTTCGTTCGAACATTACAAGTTTTATTCTTAGCATATGCGTGCCGGAAAGTTTTTCTGTGCTTGTTTTCTCCTGAAGTTTGACAAACAAGAACATATTTTTGGAACAAAGATTTTTGCTCCACCACTAAACTGGAAGTATATGATCACATTTTAAGACATGTAATTGTCTATGTTCACATTTGTACCATTTTTTATAGTTTGCCTCACCGTCAGGTCCTTCTATGCTCCTTCTATGCCCTTTCTATGCTTGTTTCTACTTTCTATTTTCCTCACTGTGGAATATCCTTATGCAGAATTCACTATTTTCCTTTTATTAACTAAATTCAATATTAACTAAATTCAATATCGTTTCTGCTGCAGAGAAGAAACAACTATAGTCAGGGCAGGAGAAGATTTAATGGAAGAGCTTTTAGAGCTCAAAGGGAAGATAGTATCAGGCGAACAGTCTATGTTTCTGACATTGACCACAATGTATGCTTATGATATGTAGCATTCATGGTAAAGTCTTACCTTGATTCCTTGTGGTATTGGTGCCTACTAATGTGTTCCATTTAAATTAGGTCACTGAGGAGCAACTTGCTGCTTTGTTTAGCAGTTATGGTCAAGTAAGTTAATGGTTAATTACAAGCTCTGTTTTTCCTTTACTTTTTCTGTATCAATCTACGAGCAAATTTTCGTTGTGTACTCAGGGAATACATATCCTTTGCTTAGTTTTTCTTTTAAACTTGCAGGTTGTTGATTGTCGAGTTTGTGGTGATCCACATTCCCGTCTTCGATTTGCTTTTGTCGAGTTTTCTGATGAATGTAAGTTTTTTTTTCCCCATCATTTCTCCAGTTACTGTTTTGAATTTGCTGTTTATTTCTTTACTCATGCTAATGATGCTAACCTCAACAGACTCTGCACGAGCAGCTCTTAACCTTGGCGGAACAATGTTAGGATTTTCTCCAGTGAAGGTTCTACCCTCGAAAACAGCTATCCTTCCGGTGAATCCTACATTTCTCCCTAGGGTATGAGCAAATATCTGTCTTTTACATTGTGTATAGGCTTAATTCCATTGTTGAGTCTTTTCACTTAAAGCTGATCTTACGTTTTCTAGGTGGCACTTAGTTTTCCTTTCTGTTTGGCGATAACTCTATAACTTTCGCTCTTCTTGTATTGGTCTTCTCTGTGCAGTCTGAGGATGAGCGCGAAATGTGTGCTAGGACAGTTTATTGTACAAATATTGATAAAAAGGTATGTATTTGCTGTTCTCTTTGAAATCAGAAAGCATGAACAGTTCGTTATTCTCTATTTTTTCTTGGTGGTGAATGTATTCACTCCTCTCCAGTGCTTCATTTTCATGTATTGCAGTTCAGTTGATAAAATCGATATTTCATTACAGATTTCACTAGCTAGCTTGCCTAACATCTTTATTGCTCTGTGTTCTGCATTTCTAAATGGTGTTTGTACAATGTAGGTGTCTCAAGCTGATGTTAAAAACTTTTTTGAAAGTAGATGCGGCGAGGTAAGTAAAATTCAATATATTCTGTCATTTTAGATAATTAGTACGTGTTTTCCTGATTAGAGGGCTTTTGCATCACTGGAAAAGTTTTTTCTGCTGCAGGTGTCTCGTCTGAGGCTTTTGGGAGATCATGTGCACTCAACTCGCATTGCTTTTGTTGAATTTGTTATGGTTAGTATGAACATAAATTTAATCTTTGGTTGGTTGATTTATTGTCACATTAAAAGTTGGAAAGGAAAAGAACAATGAACACAAGGAAATGTTTGGTTCTTGAATATTCAATATGTAAGGCAGCCCTGAAGCATTAGATGAATAGATGAAAGATTTAAAAATAAATGTGTTAGTTGGCTTGTGCGTACATGATCACCTGTGAAACTGCAAATTTGTGTTTCTGATCACCTCTTATTCTCCTCCTGCATAAGTTCTGGGACAATGACGGTTGTAGTCCAGAACCTGTCACAGTAATCAATATTGTCCATACACAGATGTTAACTAATTCTTTATGTTCATATTTGCACATCCGCTGGATAATTGGTCTTCCTTTTAGATGTGAAGAAGTTGGATTTCTAACCTCTGATCTGACACTTTGTTAGAGGGTCATATATAGCGTGCAGATTACTGAATCAGTTATTATCTTGTCTTACTGTAATTTTGTTAGAGACTTTTATAATATTTCATTAGTAGGCAGTTTCGATTGTTTCCCGTCTCCCTTGTTTTTGAGAGGACAGGGGATGCCCTCATTTTGCACGACTTGTGAGGAATTTGCTCGCCTCTTCTTGCTCATGTTTGGTCACGAGGAATAATGATCAAGAGTTGGTGCGTAACTAGATTTTAGGAACCATGTTACATTCAGATGCTCATTTGAGTAAACCTGCTTTGTGGTACAACTATGAAAACTGTAGCACCTTTAGTCTTGGTACATATTTCAACCGATGAGTTCTAGTATGTGATGTTGGCTACTCTGCATTCATTTTTTCTCAGAGACAGTTCTTCATTTTGCTCTACTTCAGTCTATGACAGGACCCAAAAATATTAACTACCTGTGCAATCTTGTGACCTGATGTGTCCACGTGTGACTTTCATTTTTTCCCCAGCATTTATATATTTTCTGAGACTTCAACTGGGATTTGCAGTGGCATAGCATATTTTGAAAATGAGTCTTTCTTGAATTTGCAGGCTGAAAGTGCAATTGTGGCTCTGGACTGCTGCGGTGAAGTACTGGGATCCCAGCGCATCAGGTAAAAAGTCGTTGATAGAGTGATATAACCTTAACAGCCGCAGGTAGCTCAGTATATTGTTGGTCATGTTGATGTGTTGCTCTAAGTTTACATGCTCGTGTTGCAGGGTGAGTCCCTCAAAGACACCTGTGAGGCCCCGCATCCCTCGCCCTATCTTCCAGTAGAGCCGGTCTTTGAAACCAAAGATTGGGAAGGAGTTAAAATGCTAATTTTGAATTGGAAGAGAGACAAAGGTCCTGAAAGGAGGAGCTGTGAAGCATAGATTTCTTTTCGTATTTCCATCTTTTTCTGGAAACAGTACCTTTTTCTGCTCCCAACTCGTTTCTGTTTAAATTAGTTTTAAGGATTGTCCCAATCCTGAGGACTTCAAAACCGGGATTCAGTATGACGGTTCTGAATTATGAACTCGTTTAGACACGCTTAGCAGAATTATGCCAGTAAATTTCACGCCTTAATCTGCTCTTCATAGATATAGCTAATAAATGATGGAATCCGGTTATCAGTAGTACCATAGTTTGTTTTGCTTTATCATTTCCTCTTCCTCTCTAAAAGAAATGATACATATACTTAGAATTTGGTGAATGTGGAGGGCACATGAGGCTGTTAATAAGCATTCTTCCTTTTGGAAAACAAATCAAGGGAGGCAGAGCCCTAGGTTACATTGTGTTATTTTTGTGGATGTGTTGACCCAACAACAACATGAATAGTAAACTATGGTTTACGGTTAATGCGATAAAGGGTATTATAGTCCAGCTCATAGAGCCCAAACTAAAACCCGATTCGCTCTTAATAGTGATAAGTTCCAAATTTGCGGCAAAATTAATCTCTCTAAAAAAGTGCCAAACATCAACCGTTCCAATCTGTAGACACCGTTAGTAGGCATCTTCAATCTTCAAGGATGAAGACTGGAGGAGCGGTCATTATTGTCAGCCTGAGCTATATATATAGCTATCACCCTTTGCTTTTCCAAATTTTCTTTTGCATTAAGGTTCTGGAAACGCTTTTGGGGACCCCCCCCCCACCGTTTAATCTTCTTGGACCGCAAGGTAGAAGGAATCATGTATTTGGAAACCCCTTGTTTTTTGTTCCTTGCCAGTTGCCCCGTGTGTGGACAGATCCTACTTGCGCTTCTCTATTTCCATCCCTTTTCTTGAGCCCGATTGACCCCTTTTTTTTCCCCGATTGACATTCCTTTTTTCAGCCTTTTCAAAATTGTACCAATCATAATTTTTTTTTTTTTTTAACTTCATTTTTAAGCCAGTAGGTTAAGAATCTTTTAAAAGTTTGTAAAAAGAAAAGATAATTGTGATTAGATTAGCCCCCAACTATATTTGAATCCATTGATTTTACCACAAATTTAGTGTTTCATTTCCACCATTAACAAAGATAGCCATCACATAGCATAGGTGTTTAGACTTTTAGAGGATTTTTTTTGAAGAACAAGAATACGAAGAAAAAGAGAAGAAAGTTAATTACTTGTAGCTAGCCCCCAAAATTTGATTTCGCTATCAACTCGAGAGTTCAAAAAAAAAAAAAAAAAAAGAAAAGAAAAACAAGAAAAAGGGTTCGAGCTGTTTATTTGAAGGTGGCCAGGGTTGATTGGTTAAGTTAGATTTTGGGTTTTGAGTTCGCCAAAATTATGGGCATATTCTCTGTTGACTATAACCCCAAACCAGTGTGAACTTGACCGTGGAAATCATCGTGCTTTCTTGAATATAATTGTTTGAGTCTAATTTGTTTCTATGTGAATTTTTTTTATTAGTTCAATAATTTTTAGGGTTTATTATTATAGATATATAAATTTGAACAATATGTCACCAGATTGTTCAGATTAACCAATCTTCATTGTTTTCATTCCAGATCAGTTCTAATTTCAACATAGACTCGTGTAATGGTGAAATTCCATTTTTCTCCCCTCCTTTTTTTTTTTTTGGTCTACAAGTAAAATAAATAAAAGAAAGTCAACAGTTGAAATTTGCATTGAATCTCATCAGTTTATCATCCTCCCCACAATATTTCCACATCACCGCATCTGTTAACATCATCGGATGTTTCGATGCTGCTTATTATACTACTTTGGTTAAGATAGCTACGTTTCGTGTACTTACACGAGTTATATTATTCTTTCCTTTTCTTTTTGGTTTCTCCTTCCTCCCCCCCCCCCAAAAGAAGAGAGAATGAAATCTTAAAATGAATCTCCACCATGTTGTAAATTCCTTTTATTTCTGATAAAGGAATAATGGTTTTTTTTTGTGGTGAAAAAATGAATAATGTTTATAATATAAAGACTGTACTCTCTCTTATTATAATCATAAGACACAAAATTAACACTAATGTTAGTTTGAATTTGTACCTTATAATTAAAGTTAAAGGGATACATTTTTATCCACTCTACATTGATGGAGCCATTGTGACTTTGGAATTATATCTCATCGCTTGAATATATATGCATGCACGTTAAACTGTTCGTTTCTCATCTTTAAAAAACAGTTGTAATTTAAGATTTTATACTCTCACTGTTTCGAAAAAAATAGTTCACAAATTTGTATTAAAAAATAATACAAATTAATGTGGGCTATTTTTCTGAAACGAACTTTCATACACAAAAGAAATTGTATTGTTTCAATAATTCAACGTAAAATAATCAGGACAATCAAGTTGGGACGAGAGATTATATAAAACTGAATGTGGTGTTGTAGTTGTTGAATAGTAAGTAGTTGGATCGGGATTGTGGAAGTTTTTTTTGTGGTTCTTCAAATAAACAGACTCAAGCAGCAGCTAAGTCGGCTACTAACTAACTGGAGGCTCCCGAATATGGAAATCTGAATCACGTGTGCGCAGCCCCTTTATATTTTACACATGATTTAAATACTAATATTTCTTACAAATCAAACTGTTTGAAACTGGATAATTAAACAAGTTGTGAGTAGTTTCCTCCAAATCGGGGGGAACAAAGACTCACAGAAGACTTTGATTGCCGTTCAAGAAACGATCAAAAGAATATTGCTGTTTTGATCTTTCAAACTAAAAAAACATATTCTAATCCCACATGCCCATATTTATCCATCCCATGCATATATCTTTTTCCAGTTAATTAGTGTGGTATTCTGTTTTTTTTTTTTTTCCTTTTCTTCTCTAACCAATAGTGTTTTTTTTAAAATAAATAAAAAAAATTACTACAATTTTAGGGACTAAAAATTTGAGTGCATTCGCTTATTGAAAATTTAAGAGTTTTTCGTTTAAGGTTTGTGAGACTGAAAAAATTCTCTCCATATCCTTAGTGATCAATGTACTGATTTAAAGTCATGTTTTGTTGAATTACACTATAGGATAAGGGATTTAATTTTGACGTAAGTATTGGCTATATCTGATTGAGTTCAGCAATGAAGTCACGAAGGCTGACTAGAGGGAGGGAGCTAGAAAAGGTTTGTTTGAATTAATTTGTTGATTAGGTGAGAACTTGACCTTAGATTTTGAAGGTTTCTAGTTACGTGGGTTTTTTTTTACCTTTATTTTTTCGGAAGTTCAAGCACAACTGTAGCTGATAATAATTACTCCTTCCGTCCCAAAATTATTGTCCAGTTTGAAATTTCACTTTTAGTATAATTTGAATTAGAAATAAAAACTCAAACTGGACAATAATTATGGGACGGAGGGAGTATTAATAAATTTTCAAATTTCTGGAAATTGTCTTGACTTACGCGAATTGATAAACTACATTGGGAATTCGCTAAACTAGTGTAGTTTTTTTTTTTTTCCCTCTCTAATATGAGACTCAAGGCTTATAAGTCATATAACTAGGTTGCTCATGCGAATACAAAACCTAAGATAAGAAATGAAGGAGACAACACGATTATCTGCTATTAAAATGGTAAGAAAAATTAAAAGGACTCTACATGGGTGAACACAGTTTATTTTAACACCATATAGTTTAATTTGATATCAACTACTGGATCAAATAAACATAAAAATTTAACAAGTATTAGACCAACATCAAATATGATATTTTCCGTATCTCAAAAAATTAGTCGACATAAATTTTTTTTTTTTTTTTGAGATGAAGGGAGTATGAAATTGAAAGCCATTATTAGCATATTCACTCAATTACAAAAACCTACTATTTTTCTGCGTCAAATATTCATCAAATCCTCTATAAATTGTCAATCAGGCTTATCTACTGAACTTGTTGTTAACAAAGAAGAGATTCGTTAACTTGGAGGACTTCCATCAAGTAGTAGCAGCTTCTAGTAGACTAATTTAATTACAGATTCCGGGAAAAAAAAAACACACAAAAAAAAGATCCAAAATAAATTGTTTCAATACCAATTATGTGATCGAGTCTGTTGACATTTTCCTTTACGATAATTCTATACGTTTATATATATTTTGATTATTTCCTCAAGATTATAAAAAGAAATATTGACCAGAAATTTTATTATCATTATTGTTATTGTAGTTTCGTGCAAATACACCTAAGAGAAGAAGAAAGAAGACAACTCGATTATCTGCTATTAAAATGTAAAGACAAATTAAAAGGAGTATGCATGGTTGAACAGAGTTTATCTATCATTAACTATAACTTGTGGTTCGAAATTTATTCGAAGGACGAAGCATAAAGTAATACTCCCTCCGTCTCATAATTATTGTTCAGTTTGGATTTTCATTTTTAGTTCAAATTGTACTAAAAGTGAAATCCCGAACTGGACAATAATTTTGGGACAGAGGGAGTATTAAGTTGTCCACTTGTTGAATTGCTGTATCAATTCAGATCACTGAAAATATTGAAAACAAAAATGAAAGAGAAACTTAGCTATATCATTGGAACACATACTTTGGTTGCTTGCGGTCAAGATGATTTATTTTTTATTTTTTGTTTTTTAATTAAATTTCTTCATTTCCTACTTCCTTGTGGGTTATGTTGTAATAAATTGGTAATTTAACGGGTAATAATACGACCAGCGGAACTGAAACCGTGTTTTCCACACATTCATCGCATGCCTCTTTTTTTTTTTTTTATTTGTTGGGAGAGGGAACCATATGCCATTCTTAAACCCCATTTTTGTAAATCAAATTAGAACCCACATAATAACATTACAATTTACATGATATGACGATTTTATTATCTTTTTGCTACGTTTAAACATGAAATCCAGTCATTCTACATTTCCATTTGCCTCCAAATTGTGGTCTTACATAGGCTGATGTTACCTTCTCGGTAAGATTTAGTGACACAACATTATAGTCTTATTACTCTTCTGCAAAATGTTCATTCATATTTATCTTTTCGATAATTTAAATGGACAAAGTAAAGTTGATTATTAGATTAAAAAAAATGACAAGATGGGATGAAAAAGTACATTTTATTATGCAATATTTGGAACCAAACGGCTAAGATGCATGGTTTTATATGTCACCATCCTCTTAAACAAAATAATTCAAGTTTCGTACGTATTTGAGGCTTTGACCCAAAAGTACAAAGAAAACAGCAGCTTCCTTGCAATGCCTCTGCGTTTTTTTTTTTTGGGCTCAACTCAAGTGCTCAACGTCGTGGTTTGACCCTTTGACCCAATCTGGTTGTCATTCTAGACTGTCTTGCTCTCTCCTCAAAAATTTCTTCAAGATTACACATTTTTTTGGTCAACTTTTTCACCTAAAATTATAGAAAAACCATTATTCTCTTCACTTCTTCTTAAAATCTTAATCTTGTCAAACACACACACTCACACAGTAACTGGAACCCCACTTGCCCAAATAAGACTCTATAAATACACGATCAACCTCCCTAACTCAAAACCCAATAATCTCAAACATCCATCTCCTCATCAAATCAAAGACCCTTTTTACGTACTTTTTTTTTATTACTCGTTAACTCATCAATCATCGTATACGTTTTGTTACAAGTGATATATCAGTTCCAAATAATATGGCTGGTGGCGTTTATGACAGAGATCCAGTTAAGGTTGTGATCATCAACACACAATACGTAGAAACCGATGCAACCAGCTTCAAATCAGTTGTTCAGAGGCTTACCGGAAAGGATTCCAAAATCGGGATGAACCCTTTTCCTTCCCCTACTTCTTCTGAAGGCGGTAGAAATATCAAGAAAGAAGAGCTGATGATGAGGCAGCTTCCGATGACAACCGGCCGGTCAAATGTTCCGGTCATGGGTCGAGGTTTGTCTTTTAAGGATTTTGATCGGTTGCTTAAGGAGTTGCCGCCTTTGGACGAGCTTTTCCGTCTTTGTGCTGATTAATATGCCACCACCACAACAACAACAAACATTTTTCGTCCATTCATTTTTGCGACTAAAAAACAGTAAAACTGGGACACATACAGTCCTTATAGCAATGTCTGTACGTACTACTATATATTTGTATATGAAAAGTTATAGGGTCCTAGATTTTTTATTTTTCTTTTCCAAAATGTTTGTTTATTCTTTAATTGATTAATCTTAAATTTAGTTTTTTGACAATAAGATCGATCGATATTTTATATGATGATCAAGATACAAGTGCATCATTGATATATTTATTTATTTTTTGTGATGGGAAATATATTACTACTCCTACATTATTAATTATATCCAAATCAACATGATTGCTAATAACGATTAATGAAGTAAAAATAACCAAAAAAACGTTACCATTACAGACTTTGTCATTATAACTAGGAAATGATTACGAACAACCAGAACTTTTTTTTTTCTTTTTTCTTTTTTTACAAAGAAAGAGGCGATAACGCCTCAAACTATTACATTTCTTGAGTATTCAATAGTGATGGATGACTTGTCTTGTCATGAATTCAATATTGATTATTTAGAGAAGGGATGTGAATAAATAGCTCTAATGCCAATATACATGTCGCAGTAATTAAGCAAAATCACATATTGATGTTTACACGAATGTCATGAACTTAATAGGGGGATGATATTGTCAAACAACTTGTCCGTGAAATATCGGCACTCGTTGTGATCATAGTCTGTTTTGTTAAACTAAAGTAATACAGATAATTAAAATTGAAAGGAATGAGTACAATTTAAAAATCTTTGACACCTTTCCTTTTTTGTTTCTTTTTCCAAGTAGTAGCTATAGAAGGTGGGATCATTCAAAGGGCTTTTCGCACGTTTAGAAGGGATTTGTTCTTGTTCATGCATCGTCCCTTTGTTTACTTTGATGGTGTATACATAGGAACAAGTCATTTGCTTTGATGACTAGCAACTTGCTTATATATCATACATGTTAATATTAGACTCGGCATGCAAAATCGCAAATTGGCGAATAGGATGGCAATTGGCAATCCGTTAGAGTCAATGGAAGATTTGACCAAGTCCGGCAATCAAAATACCAAAAAGGCCAGCCTCCTCGTTACATGATTTTGTAGATCGAAATGAGCCGATTACAAAAAAAATTTTCAAGATACATACTCCTTCGGTCACGAAAATAATTTTCGTATAAGAAGTGTGCAACCTTTGAAGATTTATAATAATTTTCGTATAAGAAGTGTGCCACCTTTGAAGATTTATAAGTTAGGACATAATCTTCTATATTGTAGTATTGAGAGTTGTATTCCTAATAATTAAACCGTAATGTATACTCAAAAAGTAGATCCAGCAATTGAGTAAATACTAATAACAACCGACGGGAATCGAAGTCCCACTCCACTTCTGAGGTCGGAAAATGACATCCTGATGAAGTACTTAATTATGAGATAGTGATTCTTTAAAGACATTTACATCTACTTTACGCCAGAAGATTTTTTTATTTTTTTTTTCAAGTGGATTGTCAGATCATTTTTCATCATAGTATGTATAAGGGTGTTAGTTTTTGAAGCCACTATCTTTACTACTTGAAGCCACCATAAATTTTTTTGAACCATTTTGCCCTTTACATTTTAAACTTCCACCAAAGGAAAAAAGAGAGAAAACTTAAAACCACCACCCTTCTAAATCCCATTTTGAAGTCTAATTTGGTGAAAAATTGATGGCAACACGGAAGAATCAAAGCGGGAAAGAGCCGATCTCATCACGGGTACGTTTTTTTTAAAAAAAAACTTTGTAAATTGAAGGAAAAAAAAAAATTTGAATCTGGCCGCCGGACGGGCAATGAAGCCGTCCGGCGGCGCGACCGGGACGCGCAAGCAACGCGTCCCGGTTCAACTCGGAACGAGCAAAGCGCCCGTTCCGGTTGAACCGGGCGCGTTGCTTGCCCGTCTGGCCGCGCCGCCGACGGCTTCATTGCCCGTCCGGCAAGGTTCTTTTTTTTTTAAATTTTGTAAGACCGCGGACGGGCAATGAAGCCGTCCGCGGCGCGGGACGCGCAGCAACGCGTCCCGGTTCAACCCGAACGGGCGGTTTGCTCGTTCCGGGTTGAACCGGGACGCGTTGCTTGCGCGTCCCGGTCGCGCCGCCGGCCGGCTTCCGGCGCCGTCCGGCGGCCAGATTGCAATTTTTTTTTATTTGTTTAATTACAATGTAATTATGTTTTAATTATGTTTGATTTAATGTAATTAGGGTTAGTAAGTAATTTTTTATTATTGAATATTCTGTGATTTAGATTGGTTACTTAATTTAATTGTGTAAATAATTTAATTTGATTAATAATAGATTAGTTCATTAATTAGTTTGATTGATGTACTTATTAATTTAAATAGTTATTAAAGTATTTAGGTGATATTTTTAACTAAGTTATTAGTAGATTAGTAAAGTTAATCATTTGAATTGATTAAATTAATTTAAATATTATGTAAATTAGTTGAATGAGAAAACTAATTTAATTAATAGTAGATTAGTTGAGTACCATATTAGTTTAATTGATTTACTCATTATTTTAATTAGTTATGAAAGCAATTAGGTTATATTTTTAATTTAATTATTAGTAGATTAGTAAATTTACTCATTTTGATTGATTAAATAAATTTAAATAGTATGTAAATTAGTGATACTAGTGATACTGAAGTAGTAATAGTAGATTAGTAATTTAATTTAAATTGTGTGTAAAGTAGTTAATGATTAATTAAATTAATATATTTTTAATTAATTAAATAGTAATTTAATTTAAAATTTGGTAAAGTACTTTAGTTTACTTAATTATTATATGAATTGTACTAAATTCTTAAACTATTTAGGATTTAGGATATGCGTATAATTATTTGTTTAGACTATGAAAATATGATGACGATGAATAAAATTTTATTTATAGGTTTATGGTGATGATGATGATGATAGTGATACTAGTGATACTGAAGATAGTAGTAAGCGTAAGGTTCGTGCGCGTCATCGACCATGAGTCGTCGAAAGAAAAAGAGGAAAAGAGAAAAGAAGCGAATGAGAATGACTCAGTCACTATGGGGGTGTACTGCTTGGACTCGGTCTAGTCAGCCGATTAATATATCCGAGTATTCTGAGGACGACCTGGAAGAGGGGGATGAGGATGAGGAGGATGAGTTTGATGAGGATGATGTGCAGGACAGTGTTAGGATGGGTGCACATCACAGAGATACGCCTGTGTACAATCTTAGTAGTTACCCTCATCCTCGGTACTCCAGTTTTCCCCGGCCTGGTCCTCGCGGTTTACCCTCTCCCCCTACCCCTATCCCTTCTCCTAAGAGTGGTGAGTGGCGCAGTCCATATCATAGTCCCTCTTTCCCGCATCCGGGTATATCCGTAGTCGCCCTCGTTCCCCCCGCTCGGGCATCTCCCCTACATTGATCCGTGCCCCTCGCGGAGGTCCCGTCTCCGCTCGAGTATCTACACGTCCTCCACCTCTCATTGATCCCGTGGGCCCTAGCCGAGGTCCCGGATCCACCGGAGTATCTCCACGTCCGCTACCACTCTTCGCATCATCGGTACCAAATATCTATATTTAATATTCGTAATTATGTTTAATTAATTATTGTTACTTATATTTACGATTAATTGTTGTATGTACAAAATGTAATAAATAATTATTGTTTTACTCATTCATGGTACAAAGGCAAGAACAATGAGAGTTTCGATGACATTGATCCGACTACATGGCTAGTGACAGGATGAAGTACTGTGGGCCGATAGATGGTAGCGTGATTCCTAGCTTCCTTGGGCATATTGCTTATCATTTCTGGCATGGATACAATAGACCCACATTGAAGATTTTTAAAGGCGAAAAGATTCTGAATAAGTTGAAGATGTGGTATAAAAATATGGATGATGATGTGAGAGACAAGATTCGGGGACTGGATTGGGTCACCTTCTTCGTACCTCGTATGAAGATATTGATCTTGGCTTAGTTCGGGCATTTGTTGAGAGGTGGCAAGGACACCAATTCATTTCATTTCCGTTTGGGAGATGACCATCATGATGCATGATGTTTATCATATTTTGGGCATTGAGGTCGATGGAGAGTTGGTGACAGTACGTCCGACACGATTTGTTGAGGGACATGCGGCAGGATACTTGGCATGGATATGAATGATTACAAGTGGAGTCATGGCGGTGTCTCCGATTCGTTCATCCTTGAGCGATGCGAGAAAGCGGACGCGAATACCTGTGCCAGTGCTTTCTTGTGGGTATTGTTGGCCTCGACGTTGTTCATGAGCAAGAGTGGTGGGAGGTGCGGTGTTGCACTTGTACATGAGTGATGGTGGGATCGAGAATATGGGTTCATACTCGTGGGGCTCTGCTACGCTTGCGTTCCTATACCGTCAGTTAGGGATGGCTAGTAGGGCAATGTGCACTCAGTTAGGTGGTTATTTGACCCTATTGCAGGCCTGGATATATGAGTACTTTCCGATTTTCCGCCCCCAGGGAGGGCGAGTTGCCCGTGCGGGTAATGACAGGCTCAGAGTACATGACTGGATACCACCATCTTTTGCGGGGCCGACATCTGTGTCAGATCGTCTTCGTCAGGTTAGGGAGCGTCTCGACTGTTTCACCGAGTTAGAGGTACTTGATTGCTTCATTTGACTGTATTTCATTTTATTTTTTGAAAATTAAATTTACAAATAATCTAAATGCTATTTTGCAGGTTAAGTGGGAGCCATTTGGACCTGGACAACAAGGAATAGTTCCTAGGACTATCTATAGTGGGTGGATAATGTATAGGAACATACAGGAGCCATACATGCCGGACAGATGTATACGCGAAATCCACAATTGCCATCGGCACCAACATCAAGGTAACTGGTAATATATGGCCGAATGGGCCATGGAATGAGGTCGTAGCAACCATACTGTGAAATATCATTCGCAAAAGATATCTGTACATTACACGGAAATAATGTTATTTAGAACAATTGATAATAAATAAAGAATATTATGAACAATTACTTATTAACATGTACCTGTGGATGCATCTGTACGACCACCTGAAGACGAGGGGCGCTTCTTACTTGAATCGCTAGTAACTGTGGTCGACTTTCCTTGCGCCTCGTCCCTGTAATCCCACACATTAGGAGTTGCTTTTTTCTGTGGGGATTGTTCATGGGCAACAGGGTTGGCCTCTGTTTTTTCTTTGATTTAGCCCCTTAGGCCGCCCCTTCCTTCTCTTGACTTCCTCGGGTTGTTTGAACCCACACTGCTCGGATGCATAATATCGTGGAGAACCCTATTTACAAGACGTCGATCGCCTTAGGACA